GGATTTGAACCTGCCACCTTAGGTGTATGTGGCTGGTGCCTTAGCCGCTTGAGCCACAGGTGCCAAGCCTGTGTGTGGTTTGATAATCATTATAGAGCTGAGTTTTACACTGATTTTACATGGTGTCTTAGGCTACTTTTCCTGCTAAATTGATAGAAAATGATTTGTTCATATCTTTGAAAAAATGTACTCTGTTATAACAAATAATTCTAATCCTTCTACCTTCCATTCCACAAACATCACAGAAGGCTAGGATGAATCAATAGCATTTACAGTACTGACAAAAGCTGGGCGTGGTGGCATGTGACTCTGCTACTCCAGAGGCTGGGGCAGGATCTTGCTTGAGCCTTAGGAGTTTGAGGTTACAGTGAGCTGAGCTATGATTGCACCATTGCACCCCAGCCTGGGTGACAGAACAAGACCTTGCCTTTAAAAAAATAAAAAAATAAAAAATAATAAAGTACTGATAGATACCTATATTTTGTTTTGCAGGAGAGAGATTATTTTGGATTCCTTGGTGGAGGAAAACAACACACTCTGGTCTTGCCCCCAATGATGCAAGTGTGATTGCTGGCGTCTTCATGAGCTCCAGAGGTCACAGCACGCTACCAAGGACTCTCATGGCCCCTCGTATGATTTCCGAGGGAGACATAGGAGGCATTGCCCAAATCACCTCCTCGCTCTTCCTGGGCAGAGGCAGTGTGGCCTCCAATCGGCACCTCCTTCAGGCTCGTGGCATCACCTGCATTGTTAATGCTACCATTGAGATCCCCAATTTCAACTGGCCCCAGTTTGAGTACGTTAAAGTGCCTCTGGCTGACATGCCTCACGCCCCCATTGGACTGTACTTTGACACGGTGGCTGACAAGATCCACAGTGTGAGCAGGAAGCATGGGGCCACCTTGGTGCACTGTGCTGCAGGGGTGAGCCGCTCAGCCACTCTCTGTATCGCATACCTGATGAAATTCCACAACGTGTGCCTGTTGGAGGCGTACAACTGGGTGAAAGCCCGGAGGCCTGTCATCAGGCCCAACGTAGGCTTCTGGAGGCAGCTGATAGACTACGAGCGCCAGCTCTTTGGGAAGTCTACAGTTAAAATGGTACAGACACCTTATGGCATAGTTCCAGACGTTTATGAGAAAGAGTCCCGACACCTGATGCCTTACTGGGGGATTTAATGCCACCAAAGCCTGCATCAGCAGCCCTTAAGCAGTGCCAGCATCTGCTACACACCGTCTGTTCCCCTTTTTACCTTTCTTCTCAGATGGTTGACTTTTGGTTTTCCCTCAAGTGTTTTTTACACTGGGTATTCAAGTTTATTTTAAGCGATAGGGAGGGGTGGGAGGGACTTAAGGAGACTGCATACATTGCTAGTAACATTTTTAAAACTAACATTTTGGAATAGTGTTTATGAAAATCTTGAACTGGCTTTTAATCATTTTTAACAATTTGAACAGTTTAATAAACTGTTTGGTTCTGATCTATTCTGAATCCCATACCTTCTGCCACCATGGTAGGTGCAGGAGTAGCTCAGTGCAAAAATTATTTTGGGCCCTGATTAACCCTTTTGAGACAAGCTTTGCCCAAGGCTGCTGACCAAACAGATGCTTAGGGAAGATGGATACCAGCTTCAGTCTCTACTGGATTAGCCCTATTCTTTCCTTTCTCCTCTATTATTTAGTAACTCTGTAAGTTTAAATAAATAAATCTTTATTATTTAGCTGTTAAGTAATTATAATGAAGTCTGCTGCAAAAGCCCTCTTGGAATCAATGTGCCCAAGATATTAGCATTATTTTTAATAAATATATCTGCTTAACAAATTAAAATTTTTACTAATTAATTTCAAGGTGTATGTTGAAAGATGCTATCTAATGTGCTAAAATGTGGCTCTTGTGACAATTATGAAGACTACTTAAAATAAGACATCCCAGCCGAATCATGTTTCACATTCATGCAATGGGTAGCTGTATCATTCACAAGGGAACTCCTCTGATAAAAGGTGCTGTTTTCTCTTGTTAAGTGAAGTGCACCAAATCAGTGAATCCTCCTTCAAAGGAATTGGTTTTTAACAAAGGGTTTGCCTCTGCCTATTAACACACGCAGGAATGCCCTAGCCCAACCCTCAATGTAAGTTATAAGCAAATAACAATGGCTTCCTTTGTTTAACTTTGGAAATGTCACCTAGTTTGCTGTTTCTAATAAATTTGACAGCACAACTCAATCAGGGATGTGGTAGAAGTTTAATGAGCTCTTTTCTATTCTACTCCTGGGAAACAACTGGTGTTTACCAGATTGCCCCTTACTTTCAGATAGGAGAACTGCCTGGAAGTCTGTCTACACAATGAGGACCATTGTCACAGCACTGCTTTATTTTACGTCATTGGTCAGATAGACTATAGCTTATCAGTGCAATTATTTCTTAGATTTTTTTTTCCTGCAGTGTTTTTTTTTGCCCGGGGCCGGGCACCCTACTCTTTGAGTCACAGGCGCCACCCAATTTTTTTGGTCTATTTTGGCAAGAAGCCATAACTGTGCCAGTAGCTACATACAGCAGTACCTCCATAGTTGACCACCTCCTTAAGTATATGGGGCTGGCAACCTACTCTTTGAGCCACAGGCGCCACCCAATTTTTTTGGTCTATTTTGGTAGGAAGCTATAAATATGCCAGTAGCTACATACAGTAGCACTTCCACAGTTGACCACCTCCTTAAGTTGTCTCAATTTTCATAGACTGGACATGCACCACATGTATGTATCAGTCCAGCAGGCCCAGTTCCTTATGTCGACCACCTCCATGTGTTGACCAGTTTGTTACAGTCCCTTGGGCAGTCAACTTACAGAGGTTCTACTTTAGACAAATTATATCTTTCAGATTTTACCTGGTTTGTAGCAATGATTTCCCATCTTCTACCTTTTCTTGTTTTATGCCACTTGCCCACTCTTACACACATGCATCATTATTGTCTAAATAGGAAAAATAAAATGAATTACTGTTAATAGTGTCTATGGGAAATCAGAGGAACAAATGTTAGCATATGATCCAAGAACAATGAACAAAATAAGCCAGCGAGGTTATGGCTTCTTTAGTATGAACTCATCTTTTAAGTCTGCTGGTCTCTGAATAAGAGCCCCAAAGTAATCACTGTACTACTGTAACAGAACACCTGGTGATATGTTCTTGGTAATTAAAGAAAATATCCTTTTAGAAATCCTGGCAAACAGCACTATTGGGATGTAGCTAAGGGTGTTCTTAGAACTTGGGAGGGAAGCCTGACACTCATTTAAGTGCATCTATGTGAAATCTGAACCCGGCAGAGACAGACCAACAGAAAAAGTGTGACGTTCTCCTATCCTTGTGTTTTACCGTCAGTGTAGGTTAACAAGTAGTTATTTCAGAACAAACCCTGCAAGTATTTCAGAGGATAAGCTTCATAATGGCTTAAACATGTCAGGGCAATTGTTTATTAAAATATAAGCAAAAGAAAAAAACCACACCATCTTTTAAAGTACAAGACCAAATTCCACATCACATACAAGGCAACCCATTTCACTAGGGACCCACAGCCACAAAATAATCAGGCATCACACATGAATACTTTCTTTTAGATATTTACACTATATTCACTTCAACCTATAATGTAAGTAAAAATTTTCTTAGAAAAGTATTTGTAAAGTGGCATTTTTCAGCCGAGAGCTATTTTACTTAAGCTTTATTTCCTCAGCTTGACCTTGCCAGGAGAGGGCTTATCAGTCTTGTTATTTGGTGGACACTTTAACAAAGAAAATACTAAGTAACCAAACATAACCACAGGCTAAACACATCTTGCCCTGAATTCTGATATACCCTGAAATGGTCTACAGCAGGCTAGAATGCTCCCTTGTGAATGGCAGATGTCTCTGAAAATGTCAGTGTTTATTAGCCATTCACAGAGAAAGGTGTTTGACGGAGAAGGTGTGAAGGGGAATTTTTATAGTGGTCCCTTGGGCAGAGCAAGTATTTCAAATTTCTGTGACATGGGGCCCCTATCATCTTTTCAAAGCTTGAGAACACACTAATAGGTGAGGGGAAGACATCTTTAAACAAATAAGACTGAACCTTCAAAATACATATATGTACACAAAATATTCAAATAGTTAGAGATACACAGCTCCTGGGGAAGGCCAACCAGTAGCCACGGGAAAAATAAAGCATGGAAAACATCCCAATACACCACCACACCTCTTCTATCTCAAGCATGTCCAGACAAAAATTAAATTACACACGAAGTCATAACAATTTTAAAGGCAAAACACAATACCAAAAAAGTGCTTATTAATGCCATTCAAGCGGTGGGGGTGAAGCTGCCTGACACAATGCACAGTATGGAAATAAGTAACCTTGGTTACGGTTTCCAAGGACACTGGGCTCTTGGCTAACAGAAGAGCTGAGGTGAAGCTGAATGCAATGTTGAGTCATTGTAATAAAAGTCTATAAAGAAAGAAAAGCGGCACAATGGTATTCCAGACTCCCCCAAATCCTTATTGGTAGTGTCTAATTAAGTGTTTCAAGTACTAAAGCGGATATTAAAGGTAGTGGATACTTTCCACAGCAAGGTCTTTTTGTTGATGTCTGCTGAATTTTCCTCTTGCATCTCCTAAGGAGTTACTAAACCTATCATACTTGGTAAGGAAGATGGGGACTGTACCTAGGAATTTTATCTGAGACATTCTGGAATTTTATCTAGGAATAGAAACCAATTGGGTTAACAGCTAAGCTTCCTTTTAAAAATGTCACTGATACAGACCACTGTGACAGAAAAATAGTCCACATAAGCCATTTCTAAAAAATGTTTCAGCAGTATAAATTCTGTCAAACTAGGAAGCATTGTTATCTCAAAAGTGGATTCTTTTGTCATGGTTCTGCCACGGGATTTCTAAGATTCATTAGAAGCCTGTTTGAATCCTGGTGCCATGTTGAAATACCTGTGATGCCAAGGTGAAGTAGAGCCCAGAGGCCTCAGGAGGAGGCCTGAAGACCGGCCCACCTGTGGGGATGTTACTAACACCACTTAGCTCTATGGAGGGCAAAAGCTCCGCAGGGGACAATTCAGAGGCAGCTGCCTTGGTCATTAGCAGCTAGAGAAGGTATCATGTGGCGCAAATGAGAACAGCAGAGGGATCTCCTGAGTGCTGCTCTGTGCGTTCTGGTGTACAGCAAGGCAGAGCAGAAGCCTCATCAACAGCTGCTTAACGAAAATCTTCCACACCTTTCTTGGAGAACGTGTATGAGGTGTAACATGGAACAAGATAGAACTTGTCCTGAGAGGAGAAAATAAACTCCTAATTATGTAAAAGCAGCAATTATACAGACTAAAGCAACCTTTTCAGCTTAAAAACCAAAATTAAGTCTAGGTCAGAAAGCCCAAGTCATGCAAAATGAAGCAAAAATGAAGCATACGAGACCTAGAATTTCTTCATAAAGCACATAATCAGCCATCACAGAAATGTGTGTCCTGGAACAGTATGTTCTTCCTAAGAATAATACAGCCTTTAGCCACTTGGCTTTTCCCCCCTATTTTAATGCATTCAGCTTAAATGGCAGAGACAATTCCCTATTCCAGGAACATGAGCCTTTTCCTTCTAAAATTCAGTGTTTTTTTTGAACAATTTCCTTCCACTGCTTCTCAACCATGTATCTTTACTAACATAAATACACGAACTGTTCGCAGTAAGCTGGGAACTCCACATTTCCCCCGGAATTAATTTTCAGGTCTCTATTGTGACACTCCTAACTCAGGCAGTGTTGGTCCCTGAACAGTATCTCTGGAAATTTGGAGAGAGGCCACTGCAAAGAGATTTCATTCCACTGCCTTCCCAAGTCTCGTGTGAGATCCACGTTCCAGCCTTTGTGTGAGGCAAAATCGGTTTTCAGTGAAGGTTCCCAAGGGGAGGGATATTCATCCTGAGACACAGGATTTGGGGTGTCTTGTCAAAGTGAATGTTCTCACCACTGCAAAATGCCCAGGCGTGTTTTGGTAAAAAGTCTTTTGGAGAGTTGACAGTTTTAGAAATGAAGAAAAGGAGCAAAGAATTGGTTCAGCTGTGACAGCAAAGTTGCTAAAATCTGCCCTTACCTGCCTGCCGTTGTTCAGCGGAGATGAGCAGAATCTGCTCTATGAAAAGGTACAGCATCAGCTTAATCACAATTTCCCCTTTTTATTCATTGCAGATATTCACAAACTAAATGTGGATAAACTCATTCCATTTCACAGGACAAAAGCGTTTTAGAAATAAATAAGCACTGGCTCAAAACAGTTGTGGCAATTCCAGTCCCACAACAATATTCTTCAAATGTCGATTCTTCACAGTTTCAATACTGCAGCAGCAAATTATTCCTTAGATAAAGAAAATCATGGTCCATATTTTAAAATATTGTTTAAGAGAAATAGCGGTAAGTGAGCAAACTTCCAGGGCCACGTGTGGTTTAGGTAGGGCCATTTCACTCCAGTGCCAAAGACTAGCAGCAGGAATGAGGGACCAGAGCACTGCAGGAATGACGAGGCCCCTCCAACCCTACCTCTTGGGGGAATTCTTCATACAGATTTGTGAACATGAACTTTACAGTACTCAAATTCTGTTTATTGGTCCCTGTTGCCTCCTGGGGTATGACAGAAAAAAAAATTGGTCTTCACAGAGGAGGCTTTTCAGAGCAAATCAGGCAGGATGAGGCCAGGAGGTTTTGGTTCAACACAGTTGATCCAGAAGTTGGCACAGCTGGCGTGATACTGGTGCCCTCCATATGCCAGCTTGAAACTGTCTGTTTCTGAGTTGAATGCCTGCCAGAAATAAACAGAGATGTGGGACAAGTCAGGCTTTTTCTGCATCTAAGAGCTTTTCAGTAACCCCACACGTACGCCTCTCCAGGTCACAGAGGCTGAGGCCAAAGTGACACACATACAAAAGCTAAGCAGGTGGCTACAGGAATTCAAGTGAGAAAGTATTTCACGGCTAATTAAAGGTACAAAAACTGTTACCACTAGACCCAATTTCAGCAAAAGAAGGCCAACTCCTTCATAGACAAGCCAGATGGAAGTTATGGGGAGGACAGGAGAGATGATGACATGGGGAACTAAAGTAACCAAGGGCTGTGGGTAATTTTTAATTCCTCCCTGTGTTAAAGGAAGCCCTCCTCTTGTGGCTGGCATCTGACTATGACATGTTGCTCCTTTAGACGTCTGTGGTTGATTATATCACAGAAACAATTACAAGAGAAAATAATAGATAACTCTTTGGGTCTAATGCTATTGGGAACTGATAACTAGATCTACATGATTAAAAGTCAAACAGGTACGGTCTGTAAAAAAGAAACCCTAAATATATGGACATGAAACATATAAGAATTATTTCCAGGTGAGTAGTTCTTATAGGCAAACTCCAGTCAGCCAGAGAAAAGAAGTCCAAGTCTCAGCCACTTCCTAGGGTTAGTTTTCTAAAGCACGACAAACAAAACTCTACCCAATTTGTTTTCTGTTAATAGCTAAAATCCTGTAGCTCTTTGATCTCGTTCTGTGTGTCACTACAACTTCCATCCTTCCAGAAGCTGCTCATTCTGTTACCCTGTTCACTACAGAGAAAAAGAACGGCAATACCAGAAGCCAATTAGGAGACACAAGCATGCAAACAAGACAGAAGTGGATCCACACGAACACATTTGCTGATTAAATCAAACATTATGGGAATACAGATGACTCAGGAAAGGATTCATGAACAGTTCAGGATGGCAAGAGAATCACCCAGTTTGCCTTCCACACTCAAAATTAAGATGGAGACACTAAGATCATGTGTTAGCTGGTTCATACTTTTTTAGGACGTTCTTCTGCAGGTTTCTCTTCTTTCTGAAATGATGTTGAAACCATAAGGTCAACACAATTCCCCGAACAGGGCCTCTTGCCTCTGAATAAGCCCTTCCAGGTTTAACCTTTGCTCTTTACCACCCCACCACACGCAGGGTGCTGCAGGCACGGTGCAAATCACCTGCTTCTTAGGGAAGAACTGGACCCATTCCCTCCAGCTTCCCCCTGCCCTCTTGAAAGGATGGATCTGCTTCCTCTAGTCAGCTTTCAGGACTTTAGAAAATCCCACCCCTCCTCACAAATTTGCAGTCAAGTGGGTTAGATGAGGCCAGTCACGTCAGAAAAGCATTCTGTCATCTGCAAGGGGAAGCTAGGTGACTTACTCGGCTCCTGGAGTCCACATTTAAGAGGCACACCCCACAAGCAAGTTCTTGAGCGTTTTTAATCCCAGGCCGCAGCATACAGGAGGAAAAGTCCAGCGAATTTTCATCTGGCTGTGAGGACAACAAGACACATGGGTGAGAATCCAGCAATTCCCAGTGCTGTTTGCTTCATTCCCTAATCACTCAGCCCCAGCAGGTCCAGCAGCAAATACCACCAATACAGTAATTTAATTTCCCAACCAGGGACTGAGTCTCTGCTACATTAGACCTAGAGTTCAGTGCCAGCGATGTGAGTACAACACATCCCCATATCCTCAGAGAACTCAGTCTAGGGCAAGAGCCAGGTGGGTACAGGTGGTACAGGGCTGTGAGTACTTACTTAGGGCTAAGTTCTGAGTGCCAGGGTATATGGAGGGGCATGTGTTCCAACCTGAGGGGGAAGGGGCCCAAAGTCAGAGAATGCTTCCCAAAACTCGGGATCATCTTGGCTGAGTCCTGATGGGAATATGCTAGGTGAAGGGGATGGTGTCAGGTGGGCTGGGGGAGGGAAGGGTGTTCCATGTAGAACAAGCAGCATGGGCAAAGGCCTCTAAGCAAAAGAATAGGGATGAGACGGAATCTAGGCAGTGGGAGCCAAGTCCATGAAAGGAAGAAGGAGAGAACACTGGGGCATGAGAACATCAAAAGAAATATTAGGGGTTGAGACCTTATCCCGGGAAGCCACTAAAAGTTCTCACTAGGTCATGACAGGATCAGGTGTTTATTATGGCAGTGTAGGTAAGGAATTGGGGGTGGCAACACTCAAAGTATGGGCCTCAGTTGGAAGATTGTTATAGCAATCCTGGAGACAGGTACCAAAGGTCAGAACGAAGGGAGCAACGGTGGGGAATGGAGAGAAATGGACTCAGGCGAGCTGTTAAGGCAGTAGAACCACCAGGCCTGGGTGGTATTAGGCGAGTGGGGAGGCTTGGGCAACTGAGAAGATTCACTGCAATGAGGTATACTAGAGAAGGACCGGGTTGAGGGATGAGGCTGGGGAGGAGAGTTCAGTTTGGTCCAAGCTGAGATGGAGCTGCCTGTGGGACAGCCAACGTCAGATGTTACATAGCAGGTGGGTGGATGTACAGGCCTCATGGTCAAGAATGAAAGGTGTGGGCTCGGCGCCTGTGGCTCAAGTGGCTAAGGCACTAGCCACATACACCTAAGGTGGTGGGTTCGAATCCAGCCCGGGCCCGCCAAACAACAATGATGGCTGCAACTGAAAAAAAATAGCCAGGCGTTGTGGCGGGCGCCTGTGGTCCCAGCAACTTGGGAGGCGGAGGCAGGAGACTCGCTTGAGCCCAGGAGTTGGAGGTTGCTGTGAGCTGTAATGCCACGGCACTCTACCCAGGGGGACAGCTTGAGGCTCTGTCTCAAAAAAAAAAAAAAAAAGAATGAAAGATGTGAAAGTCTCTCTTCAATAAACATACCAACAGCTAATCAGTGAAGCCCTTTCCATATATTATCTATTAATAATTTATTCCTAACAAAAGATTGATGAAATACAGGAAACGTAGTACAGTGATTAAAAGGGTAGGCCCCAATTTTAGCAAGCGGTCAATTTCTTAAAAGTTAAACATACATCTACTATATAAGCTTTCCAATTCTTCTAGAAATTTATCCAAGAGAAATGAGAAGATTTACCAACAAAAGTCTCATACAAAGCTGTTCATAGCAGCTTTCTTCAAATCAGCCCAAACTGGAAATAGATAAACAGGCCAGGCACAGTGGCTCATGCCTCTAACCTATAGACTTTGGGAGACTGAGGATCACTTGAGGGCAGGAGTTTAAGACCAGCGGTGGGTGCCTATACTTTCAGCTACTTGGGAAGCTTGAGCCCAAGAATATGAGGTTACTGTGAGCTATGATGATGCCATGACCCTCAACACCAGGGTGACAGAGTGAAAATCTATCACACACACAAAAAAGATAAACCATGGTATATTATTACAAAAGGATCAAACTGATATAACAACATAGATGAATTTTAAAACATTATCTAAGTAAAAGAAACCAGCCAAGGGCGGTGCCTGTGGCTCAAAGGGTAGGGCGCCGGCTCCTTTTGCTGAAGGTGGTGGGTTCAAACCCAGCCTCGGCCAAAAAAAAAAAGAAACCAGACAAAAGAGCATACATGTACATGTATATATACTACACAATTTCATTTATATAAAGTGCCAAAACAGACAAATCTATGGGGATGAGAAATAAGATCATGGAAAAAAAAAAGACAGAAATAACATCATAATTTTGTCTGGAATCAAATCAAGGGGCTGAGTAGAAAGGAGCAAGAGAAAACTTTAGGTGGTGATGAAAATATACCATATACTGATGTAGCATGGGCCCCGTGGCTATCAAACTGATCCAACTATACACATGAGATCCATTGCAAGTTATTGTTAAATTAAAAAACCCTTGAATAGCCAAAAACATGAATAAAAATGATTCAGAAGAATTAGATTCTTGTTGTGAAGGTTTAGAAATACCTGAATCAACTTTTTTGCTAAAAAGGCCTGAGAGCAGAGTTTCTCAACCTTGGTATTGCTGACATCCTGTGCTGGACAATCCTTGTGGGGACCTCCTTCTGCACTGTATGCCGTTTAGCAGGGTCCCTGGCTTCTGTGGGGAGAAAAACTGCCCCCTCCTGGTCCTTACTAAGAACTATTTTCTTTTCTTTTCTTTTTTTTTTGAGACAGAGCCTCAAGCTGTCCCCCTGGGTAGAGTGCCATGGCATCACAGCTCACCAAAATC